TAGTTTTATCATTAACCAAATATACAAATATAAATTTTATTAAATTACATAGCACGTCCATATTGTCGTAAATATCAAAGATAGCATCTTTATACAGGGTAGTTTATGCAACTTATACACCTCCATAACTTCCAAAGTATACGTTGCTTAAAAAAGTTACCTGGTTTGAAGGTGTACACTACATAGTGTATTTGTTTTTTTTATTGGTGAAGGCGTTGAAAGCCAACTTTGTTTTTTTAAGTGGTATACTATACTTTTTATACAAAAATATGGAAGAATATCAAATTCTGAGTGGAAAAGTGTTGATTTGTATTAGCCCTAAACCTAATACCTAATGACTAATTTCACTTTATTTCTTGACAATTTCCACTGTTCTACAGAAATCATAAAGTTGAATCTCCATTTTGATATTACGTAAAGAAAATTGTCGAGAAATAAAGTGAAATTACTCATTAATCATTAGGTTTAGGGCTAACATAGATTAACACTATTTTAGTATAAAAAATATAGTATTCTATTTAAAGAAACAAAGTTCACCTTCAAATCTCCGAAACCTATAAAAAAGACAAGTGCACTATACAGGGTGTTCGGCCACCCCTGGGAAAAATTTCAATGGGAGATTCTAGAGGCCAAAATAAGACGAAAATCAAGAATACCAATTTGTTGATTGAGGCTTCGTTAAAAGGTTATTAACGTTTAAAATTCCACCTGTAGAACGGCAATCTGCAAACAGCTGCGTACGCGTGATAGTGATTCTCACTCAGAAAACTGTAAGGCTGTCGATACGTCACTAAGTAGAGTTTCTTTATGCTGAGTGAGAACCACTATCGTGCGCACGCAGCTGTACTCAGGTTGCCTATCTACAGGCGCAACTTTAAACGTTAATAACTTTTTAACAAAGCCTTAATCAACAAGTTGGTATTCTTGATTTTCGTTTTATTTTGGCCTCTAGAATCTCCCATTAAAATTTTTCCTAGGGTTGGCCGAACACCCTGTATATTATGGTAAATTGACGGGGAGAAGTTAATTCCTTTACGACAGAGATAATGGAAAATGAAATATGCTCGAAGTTGTACTTTGAACTGGCTAGTCAGTGTGCTGCGCTGACTAATTATGAGATGTTTTTGCGAATTTTGAGTATTTGACGGAAGAGCATTGTGACTCTGGATAGATACAAATAGTAAACAGGGCACTGGTCCTCCAACACAAGATTGACAGAGTTTGCGACACCACACGGGCTACCCGTTATACATGTGTATACGCTTGCTAGAGACTGTTACTACTTGATAGAGGAAACAGTTGTTCAAAATAATGTCCTTTATAACATCCAAAAATCATCCAAATCTGAGACTACCTTCGTATTAAACTTATACTTTTTACTTGAAAGTACAGTTGCGGACAGAATTAAGTGGACAAGTAGGGAAAGTAGGTATGAATTAAATTTAAACAAAGTATTATAACTATTATGCGCTTAAGTTGTATATATTATACATCTTTATGATGCATAGATTATTTAGTGAGTAATTGAAATTAATATTTACATTTGTGTTGAAATAAAGTATACTTAACGAAAACGTTGATTGATTATCTAGGGATAAAAATAAGCAGACTGGAAATATCCTTTTCACTCTCACGCAGTGGTCTCAAATAAACTATTTGATTGATGTGTAAGCTTTGCATATAACAGATTATTTGTAAGGAAACAGCTGAATGTAAGTAAGAAAAGAATTTTCAAATCACATTCGTAATTTCATTATATAGCGAACTGTCGAAATAAATTAGATTACTGTATAATAGTAAAAAGTACGGTTTTTCTAAAAGTGCGGTCGACAAAGTTTATAAAAAACATTTACTACATAGTACTTATCATTGAAAATTTAAGAGGCCTCCGACGTAAACGTTGTAAAAAACTATGAAAATCCATTTACACTCGTTTTTTCAAGTTACGTGAACCAATATTAGATACCTAATTATTTCCTGTTTATTTCCAAAATTAATCCTTGTTACTCTTTTGTTTATTTCCATAGTTTATTTCTGTTAAGTTCTTTATTCATTTAGTTAAGAGAAGATATTGTCCTTTACTGTTTGTCCTGTAACGTGTGCAAATTCATTATTCAAAATTACACCCTTAATTTGAAAAATGTGAATTCATATATTGGAATTCATTTTCCATCCAATGGAGGCATTTTCGAGAAAAACGTCAGAGACAAAACTTTTACATTTTTTTGCGTACAACTTGTATATGCAATAAAAAATACCAGGTCTCATTAAAAAAAAACGACTTCCGGTTTGAAAATCCTATTTCTGATTAGTACCGGAAATTGCAACTATCACCATTCGATAGAAAGTACTCGAATTAGTTACTAAAAGTTTTTTAATTTTCAATTAAAATCACTCTCCACCATTTTAATAGGGGTGGACGGGTGGTCTAGGACACCCTGTATAATATACTATACAACTTAAGTGCATATTAGTTATTTTGATTTATACTTATTTTCTTTACCTGTCCGCTTAATTCTGTCCATAAATGTATCTCGAAAATTAAAACCTAACTGCGGTTACATGTACATAAGAAAAAATTGGTTAGAATGATGTTCTCGATAACATATTTCAAAGTCATCCAAATCAGTCAGATTTTCCCTAATCTATGTATTACCTTAATTTCCAATTATTTAATGTGAAAGCAAGTATAAATAAGAAATCGTACATTTTATGGTTAACGATCCTGACAACTACTCTCTCCCAGCAGGAATGATAATAATCAAACATTTTAAGTTGGTCCACTTTAGACATATTTTCTTTTCATCGCGATCCCTCTAACAGTCTTTTCATGGCGTGGAAGTAAACTGACGGATGGACCTATGTTTTATTTGTAATTGTTTATTACTTCCCTGAGGAACAGAATAAAGGAGGATATTAAAAAAGTGCCAAATTTGTACCCCGCCAAACACCTAAAATAACTATAAGACATCATTCTACAGATTCTGCACTTCGAATTGTGCACAATTGTTTATAGCAATAAGCAGTGAAAAATGTGATTGAAGTTGACGATGCTACGAAAGACGAATCATAACTTTTTGACTTCAAATGACTATAACTTTGAAGTGAATGCATAGAACGTAACAATTCCGATGCTATTTTGTAAAGAAAAGTCAATATTTATATAATATGCAAGGAAATGTTGCCCAGATTGTTGGTTAGTAACAATAAAATGCAAGAGATTAAGATGATGTATTAGGATGCAAATATTCCTCCAAATATATTTAATGCTATATTGTAACTCTTTCCTAGAATGGAATTAAATGCATTCAATATGACAAACTGTTATATTTCATCCCCTTCTTCTTTGGATTATAATTTTTTAACGAATTTAACATTAACGATGACGTTCACAACATATGCGATATGGTTGCTATCATGCGATCTGAAGTGTTTATACTTCAGATGGTTCTGCTGGTTCGTTACATTCTTGTAGAGGTGTTTATCTGGAGAAGATAACACCACTATGGCTTTCCACGATACTTTTTTTTTCGTCTGGAATTGGACCACAATCTTATATGACATGCTATCCAAGCGATTCCTAAATTTTTTTAGATTTGAGATTTTATTTTATTTTGAAGACATTTTGTATTACGATTTTTGTAGTGTGCTTATGCAGTGTACTTTGTAGTTTAGTGTGATTTGTGTAATGTACTTTGTAGCCTAATGTAATTCTTGTAGTGTATTGTAGTTCACGTTATAGTGTAAAATGAAGAGAAACTATATTATTTGTAGCAAGTCAATTGCAAAGTTAACTCGAAACAAATACCGGAAGTGCAATGACAATTAGTATTGTGTGAGATGCTATCGAAGCAGAAATGTCAATAGCACGGCTGACGGCACTTTTTCAGAAGTAGATTTGCTTTGTGAAGCAGTACCCAGAGTTCAAAAGTGTTTCTGAACATTGACAGAAGTCATTTGTCAAGAAAAAGAGGCATCTTTGGTTGCAGTCTTTAGAGTTCGTTAAAAGTAAATTTGGACTTGCTGCAATTGTTGAACATACTTGTGAGTGTAAAATAGGCCAAAGTGTAGTGGGGTGTTGTTCACATATTGCAACAGTATTATGGTACTTCGGATTTGCGCGACATCAAACATCCATACATTCACCTGCCAACTTCCTCAACAGATACTTAATCGAAGAAATATCATCATCTCAAGAAGAGGATGAAATATAAAATAGTTCTTCGTATTGAATGCATTCCATCCCGTTTTAGAACTGAGTTACAGTATACCATTAAACATATTTTGAGCAATATTTGCATCCTAATATATCATCTTAATTTGTTGCATTTTATTGTTACTAACCAACAATCTGGGCAACATTTCCTTGCATATTATATAAATATTGACTTTTCTTTACAAAATAGCATCGAAATTGTTACGTTTCATGTATTCACTTCGAAGTTATAGTTATTTGAAGTCAGAAAGTTATGGTTCGTCTTTCGTAGCATCGTCAACTTCAATCACATTTTTCACGACTTTCCCATCACATTTGCTATAAACAATTGTGCACAATTTGAAGTGCAGAATCTGTAGAATGATGCCTTATAATTATTTTAGGTGCCTGGCGGGGTACAAATTTGGCACTTGTTTAACATCCTCCTTTTATTTAATCAAAATCGATTCAGTAGATTTTGAGTTAAAAATTGTAAAAATGTGTAATTATAGTACCGATGTAATTATTAAACTAGATATTTTTTTAACTAAATTTTAATTAAAAATGTATTAAAATAAGAAACGGTAATTTAAACTTTTGTTCGTGTTCTCCTTTTCCTACAATTTTACCGAATTAAAAAATTCTATTATTCGAAATTAAATGTGAAAATCGGCACATACAAACGGGAGTTACTGTAATAGAAATATCAAGGACAGTGATGTGTTATATCTTCAAGTATTAATCTCTCCGGATATTAAATCTGCCTGGATAATACTGCGTCCGGCTAATAAAACATGGTTTACAGGATGTCGTCTTCGTCGACCAGTCAGACACGAAAAAGTGAAATTGCGAACAAACAAAAGCATCCTGGTTGTAGTACACCATTGAAGTCAGTTGATCCTAGACTAAGTAGCATAAGCCTTTCAGCGATTGAAACGAACTCTTCGTCGGATGGGGCTCGCAAAAGAAAGCTACCAACGACTGAAGCAAGTCTTGAAAAGAAACAAAAAAGACGTCGGAAAGATCTAAAAAAGAAATCGAAACGCAATGTTAGGAAAAGAGCAGTAATTGCATCAACAAATTCAGACAGCGACTGGGTGACAGAATTAGAGACGAGTGATGTCAAACAACAGACCACAGGTGATACGAATTCGGATGATATTTTATTTAAGGATCTGCGATCTCCAGAATTGATTCGAAGAGAGCATCATGTTGATGAAGATTACCTGGAGTCGCCAATCACTCGACCTCGTCGAAACGAAATTGTGAGCCCAGAGAAACTTGAGGGGTATGTAAACTATGAACCTCTGTCACCCAACGATACGTCTCATCTTCTTTTGCGTATTCAAGACACAGACGACGAGGAGGAAGCGCAGCTATGGAGTAATTATTAATCTCTTTCTGAATGGTTGTAAATAGTGTTTAAGCGTACCAAACTACTAATTACGATAATACAAATTTCAGAATCTAAGGATGTACTAAAAATATATGCACGGACAAAGATACATAAGAAGAAAGCAATAAGCCCGAAAGATAAATCCAAACAGTGGTTGGTGGACGTAGCAATACCATCTACAACCAGTAATCTTCTGTGGGATGATTATGTACAAAAACATCCTGAAGAAATGAGACCGTATGTCAAAGATGTAAACGAAGAATCATGTAAGAAGAATGACAAAGGTAAGTAATTAAGTATTTTACCAAATTTTCGTTAGAGTTACATAATATTTTGTATACAGAGTGTTCGGCCACCCCTGAGAAAAATTGTAATAGGAGATTCTAGAGGCCAAAATAGGACGAAAATCAAGAATACCAATTTGTTGATGGAGGCTTCGTTAAAAAGTTATAAACGTTTAAAGTTCCGCCCGTACTGAATTTTTTTCTCGAGAATGCGCAGGATTTTGGGGGTATGTTTATTGACCAAAAATGATTGTAATTGGCCCCCACAACCGAAAATAATTTTATCAAAAAGTTTGCCCACTTACTGAATTTTTTTCTCGAAAATGGTTAGGATTACGAGGGTATGACTATTCACCAAGAATAATTGTAATTGACCCCTGCAATCGAAAATAATTTTTCTAAAACAATTTGAAAGTTTTCAATTTTGTCAAAAAAGTCCACTTACTGAATTTTTTTGTAGAAAGTACATAAGATTTTGGGAGTATGTCTATTCACCAAAAATGATTGTAATTGAGCCCCGCAATCGAACATAATTTTTCCAGAACGATTCGAAATTTTTTTTTCGCCAGGCACCTACCCCCTTTGTCGATTTTTCTTAAAAATTCGTTTTTCATTTTTAGTAATTTTGTTTGACGCCCTACAAAAAAGTTGTCTAATACTTTTTTGTGGGTACCCATGGGCTCTACTTCAAAAAAAAGCTTCATTGAAATATATTCACTATTCCAGGAGTTATGGCTGTTTGAAATTTGGACTTTTTTTATGGGGGTTTTCTCTTTTTTCGGGGTTAAGGATCAACTTGTCGAATTTGTTTAGAATTGCTACATATTCTGCACCAAAATACGCGTTGTTTGCATTTTGAAAAATTAAAATCCTCCAATCTGTTCAAAAGTTATGACGTTTTAAAGATACGCATTTCGGAGAGACATTTCCTGGCCTGAAATTATATTTTCGGTAAGGAATTTTTTTCTCGAAAATGCGTAGAATTTCGGGGGGATGTCTAATGATAAAAAATGATTGTAATCGATCTCTGCAACCGAAAATAATGTTTTTAGAATGATTTGACATTTTTTAATTTAATTTTTTAATAACTTCTTAACAAACCCTCAGTCAAGAAATTGATATCCTTTATTTTCGTCTTATTTTGGCCTCTAGAATCTTTAGAACACCCTGTATATCGATGTCCCTGTGTAGTCGTCAGAATTAGAAATGAAACAAATCATTTCACATTTGATCATCAAGCGAGTCGGTAATTATGAATTTGTTTATTAGCTCTCGGAGGACCTCTCTCGATCGAGTCTATGCATTTCTGTATTATTTCTAGTTTGTGTTGCTTTCTAAAAGATGCAATTATACGACCATATTTATTGTTTAGTAACGTTAAAAATTAGGAAAATAAGAAATGTAACTAACCATAATGTTCAAATTAATTTTGTGTTTTCGACACGTCTTTCAGGAGAACTTCCGTTTGTCATTATTTAATTGTTAGGCAAAGTAGTTAACTATTTTTATCATGCAATCTTTATTCGTCGTAAACAGAAATATCCTAATATTATTTTTCTTCTATTGATATTACGAAATTCACCTAAATCAAATCTAATGAAATTGAAGTTCGAAAGGAATCTTCAATGACCTCTAAACTCACGCCAACAAAATTCACCCCAAGCTTAAATAAGTAAAATAAATAATGTAGAGACGTCTTGTTTATTTGTTTTTAGACAAAAATTAATTAGGAAACTACCTAATTTTTGAAAAGCAATTACATTTTAAAAAGCAACTTTATTCCACGCCAAAATTGTATTATATGTATATTGCTTTAAGTACCCCAATAGGGCAATATACATTTTTGGTTTGGAATCAAGTAGTTCTTAAATCCCAAAAAATTTCTATTTATTTCATTCTTAAACGGTATAAAATTAAATAGTGTAATAAGATAAAATAAGATTAAATTAGTAATTGCTTTATTAATAAAATAATTGATTTAATGACACCCTACAATTAGTAGATTCAATGCTTCTTACAGGCTTTAAATTCTCTTAATTAAAAACTGTTGTCACAGGAAACCGTTCGTGGTATATTACGAGACGGAATCCGTTAACGGTTCAGCGTTGCACACGTCGTGGTTTGCACACGCCGTGCGTTCCTCAGATCGTCGCGAGTTCGCGTCCAGACACAACGTAGCAGATCATTATGTACATATTTCGCCTTCTATAATAAAGTTTTCTGTTCGTTATTGCTATCTGTGCATATACTTTCGACCACAGTGCATCTCCTATTGCTATCCCATTAACAATAAAAACTAAACAATTGATCATGGTTAATCGCAGATCCCGTAGATGATAATCGTAACAAGAGACCAACTTCGAGATTATGGCCAGAGAGTGAAATACCGCCTAATATGAGTGTTGTGCGAGGAACCTGGAACCATTCGTTAAAAAAATTCGATCTAGTATACGATGATGTGTACAAATTTCCCGAATCGACAGATGAAGAATTCGCTAATGATAAAGTAATAGACGCAAGAATAAGCCTAAGTGAATTTCGTCGCCAACGCAGAGTTGAAAAAAAGAGGGAACAGGCGACAAGTTCCAGGAGAGTCAGACCTCGAATTATATCCTCGATAAAGTTAACAAACTTACGATATGAGAGACAGGGACAAGATTGGAAAATAATTTAACAATTTTTTGATTAAGCCTTTATTGCCCTGAATGAATTACTTTAGTTAAAAAAAATATTTTTTTTTAAAACAAAAAATATATAAAAAAATATAAATATTATATAATGTAAATAGAAAAATATTTAGCTCGTGATATAATGAAAATAGTGTTTGCCGCAATTAACTTTCTAATGTGAATTTAAAGAAAACATAAAATAAAATATAGTATACGTATATTTTTTAATTATTTAACTTCTTAAAAAATATTTAAAAAATTATTTATTATTTATTTATTATTTAAAAATTATTTATTATTTATTTATTATTTAATAAATTATTTAACTTGTTAAAAAATGTTTAAAAGATTAACAAATATCAAAATTAAATATTTTCAATATGTACATATACATATGTATGCACGGATGAAGACATTTTGTTTTCAACTGTTATAATGAAACAACTAATGGTTCATTAAATGGTACACAGAAGAAGATACAACTAATGGTACGCAGAAATAAGTCAAGTTACCAAAAGTTATTATTTATCATATTTTTAAACGTTAAAAATGTCAAATGAAATTATTAAGAAGTTTATATGTAAAATTACGAGGCTTAAAGTTAGCGATGTCGTATACATGGAATCATTGGAATAGAAAGAGTTAAAACTCGCTAATTGTACATATCTGTTTATTTATGAAATTTTGTATTCTTATTTATACGGTGTGTGTATAATTGTGTATATTTTATTTACATGATACAACACTTCAATATTTTGTAAGTAAACGATTTTTGTGGCGCTATTGCGAAATGAAATTTCAGTACGATTTTCATGAGGTTATTGTTATATGTATATGTATATATATTGTGATATCATGTATAATGTCACTGAAATTGATTTGTTTGAATTTAAATGAATTATATTGTTTACGTTTGTACCCGGAGAAATGTAATTTTTGCCCTTAACCCTTATTATTTTATCACTTTCTAACCTTCTTTTAATTTAAGCAAGGTGATTCAACTAAACCAACAAGCAATTGAATTATATTGTTTATTAAATTAACAAATTGATGGAATTCTAATATTTTTCAAAATTAAACAAATGTTATATTCGTATCAATTGAAATATTAGAGGAATGGAGCGAAAAAGTAAACGCGTTTACAATTATTAATCATTGTCATCTATTATAAAAGAGGTTAGCAACGGTTGGGCGCTACTCAAATAAATTTTTATTTATAATTATCTATTTATATCATTATTTAATTTATTCATCTATCTTAATTATAATGCATCAATCTTGCTAAAAAAATTGACTTACATAGAAATGTTTATGTAAGTAGTAACTTTTTTTAATTAGTCGTTTAGGATAAAAGATTTAAGTACAGTCGTCTAAACAATCATCTCTGACAATATTGCATTATTTTTATTTATCAAAAATATTGGTTTTCTTTTTTATTTATTATTGTCCAATATTTTTCTCTAAAAATCTCTCTATTTATAAATTCAAAGTTTAGAATGTTTTAGGAAGTAGGTATTATAGTACCCTACTGTAGGTATTCAAATTTAATTACGTAAATACTGGGAAGTGTCGCCTCTGTATGTTGTTCTATCCAGTATCAACTAATTTTTGATATGAGCTTTATTTTCGACCTTGTAAGAAATGTATTTCTTAAGATGTTGCAGTTAATTTGGTTTAGCAAGCGGGGAGTAACAAATTCGCTAAGTATATTTATTAAAACGAACACTGGAAATACACTTGCCGTAGACTTAAATCCGAAATGGGATATAAAAAACTTAAAAGAAGTAGTAGCCTCTCGAATGGGAACATCACCTGACGATATAAAAATTATTCTCGCAGGTAAAGAATTGCATAATTCAACAATAATAGAGGTAAGTTTGTGTTAAACAACATCACTGTTAATTTGTATTTGTACAACGTGGAACAATATATGCGCGATAACCTTACTTTATCGTGATCATTTCACCTTTACGTATTTTATATTTCATTTAGATGTATAAATTTCTACGAAAATATAACTTTTCACTATATTTAATTTATACTGTTGTAGGAATGCGATTTGGGCCAACAAAGCGTTTTGCACGCAATTCGAATTCCATCTAGAAAACTTAATAGAAGCAAAGATACAAGTACCATCGAAGAATCTTCTGAAATATCTGAATTGAACGATAGTGGTGGCAAGCCGATGAATGAAACTCTTTCTGATTTACCTTTGGATGAATCAGATCCGCAAGAAAATTCATCTATAACAGGTAGAATACCCATAGCCTTGCAAAGGTTACACATAAACGGTTAAAGTGCATATCTGTTAAATGTAAATGGTTTTAACCCTTTCGCTTCTGTGCTCCTGAGAAAATATACTTACAACGTAATAAACACAGAAATTGACTCGATGCTGATATACGGAGCAATTTTTTGCGTGTACTGCATTATCTAGAAACAAAATTAAATCTAGTTGATAATCAAATGTCTGAGGTATTCCAGCATTGCTTAACATTCGGTCGACAGCAATAATTTCTGTGCAAGATGCAAAAATTATTGTAACATATTATATATGTGAAGTGAAAGGATTAATTGTAAAAGATTTCGTGTATGTGGCAAAGATAACACCATATCTTTAATGTTTACAGAACAGTCGGAAAATCGCGCTCATTTTACTGTATTTTGTTCGACACCATGCAAAGCAGTTACAACAGGAAAGTTAAGAGTGAAATGTGCAACTTGTAATAGTGGGGCAGTTACGGTAGACAGAGATCCTCAATGTTGGCCTGATGTACTACTTCCACAAAGAATAACTGTTCATTGTGAAAATGATTTGTGTCCCGCACCTATATCTTTTTCTGACACTGATACGGAATCTCAAGTTTTATACGCTCGCTTTTATTTTAAGTGTACAAAACACGTTAGTCTAGGAGAAGGAGACGAAGCAGTTCCACTTTATCTTATAAAACCAAATTTAAGAAAAATACCTTGTCTTGCATGCACAGATGTCAGGTAATTAATCTATAAGGTATAATACATAAGTTACGTTGAAGTTGCCAACAACTTATTTCGCAGACACTATTATTTATACTATGTTTACATCGAAACAGTTAAGTCGTCAACAAATGCTTTCATCAACAATCAGTATCTATTAACGGATTATATATTGATCATTTTATTTATATAATGTATTTGCAGTACTATGACATCTGTAATCACTTTCTCTAAAGTCCAATGCATATAAGCCACTTTTTGTTGCACGATTATACATTTGTTTTTGTTGTTTTTCTTTTTAATTGGAAAAACAAGGAAAAATATACGATCGTGCGTTAAAAATTCGCTCCCTTGCATCGAGCCTAATACCATTTTTCTTATAAACCCAATAATATAAGTCGTCTCTGCTTTTGCTTTTTCTATATACAAAGTGTCTTGTTTAACCTCTTCACGTCCTTGGCCACATATGTGGACGTTTAGTTTTTTTTTTATAATTATAGTTACTGTTAATAATAAATAGACAAAAAAAAGAAAAAAAATTCGTCCCTGAAAAGGTTAACTAAGAACAGCTGGATATCTCGGAAAAAGTTGTAGTTATTAAAAACATGCTCGTACAAAAGTTGTTTGGTAGGATGGGCTACATCATGTAGTACTAATTGTTTTCTTGTGGGTGGAGTGGTGGAGGAGATCTGAAGGTCAATCTAATTTTCTTAAATGGAATGCTATATTCTTTTCTTCAGAAAGCAACAACAGGTACTGAGACAAATCTAAAGAAGTGCTATATGATATTATTTTGAATTGAATAAAGGTAAATTGTTGTGTAACAGCCAGCAGCCGCTGTTGAGCAGCGTTGGTTGCGTTTGTATCAAGTTACTGCAATTATGATGTTATAAACAGAGATTGAGGATTATTGCTAATCTGATTTGTCAAACATGAAGATATTAATGAAAGAAGCATGTGGGAAATAATTTAATATGGACGAATTTGACGCTACACACCAGCGGCTGCTGGATGTCAATGCAGAACGTAAACATAAGATAACGATTTACCTGTATTGAACTCAGAATGATATCGTATAACACCTCTTTGGATTTGTCTCAGTGCCTGCTGTTACTTTATAAAGAACAAAATTAAGCATTCCATTTAAGAAAATTAGATTGACCTTCACATCTTCGCCATCACTCCACCCACAAGAAAACAATTAATAACTACAACTTTTTAAATAACTACAACGCCTTCCGAGATATCCTGCTGTACTCACTTAAGCAAGACACCCTGTATAAAACCATCAATTACAATTTTTCGTTTTTCATGAATAGAGAAAATAACTTCCGCTACTAGTTTAAACCTAATTTGTCTTGTTGAACTCATAGTGTTTATTTCATTAATAATTTAATACAATAATCATGTATTAAACCAGAAAGTGTACTGATGTACTAGCATGATAAACCTGAACAAATAACAATTAACAATTTATAGAAAAGAATGAACTCAAACCTGCCAGTAAATATATAGTGTCCATAAAAGCACTTGTCGACGAGAGTCGATGTCGATGAAAACAGCGTCGTCGAAACAAGTTTTTGGCAACCCCAGGGTAATCCATAATACATATAGTATGGAATAGTATTATCTTTGGCTGTTTATTTTGGAAAGTATCAGTAGCCGATCGGCACTAAATTTGGAGGCGAAGGGGAGGGGGGAAGAGAGAGAGAGTGCCAAATATAAAATTTTAGCAGCGGATATTTAATAGTTTCCAAGATATTAATGAAAAATTTTGTTACGATACATTGAAATCAGCCTATACAGATGAAATTAACACAATTGTTTTCTCTGTGGCAGTCGTCGTCGCTAGCACTCGTAGTAATAGCTAATACTGCATAGGGATATCTTGCCCAATTTATAATCTACCAATTTTTTTTCAAACTACATGACGGTTCAATTTCTGTAAACAGAGAACGTTTATTTACACTATTGAAAAAGCTGGTGGGGGACTCTATGATGTCTCACTAGAGTTCCCGGTCCCCTTCCAAAGCACCTAAAGTTGATCACTGAGGAGTTTTAGACTGTAAGAATCGTGTACTACCTCCAGATCCACCTGCACAGGGGCCTCGGGGTGTTTATGAGAATTCCCCCATATCAACAAAAGAAAAAGTATATTTCAGTGAGGGAGTGCAGGATTTCCTAAAACAATTTATATTTAGCACTTCTTTTCCCCTTTTCCTTCCTCTAACCTTGGTGCTAATCGGCCACCAGTACTTTTTGGAAAAATGTTCTTATTTTTCAATAAGGTTCATTCTTTTATAGAGATATAGTATTGGTGTTTCCATGCGAGGCTGGTCATGTAACTTGTCTAGATTGCTTTAGAAATTATTGTTCAGTACGTTTAAGAGAACGTCAATTTCAATTCGATGATACTAAAGGATATTATACTCTTGCATGCCCAGCTGGATGCCCAGATTCTTTTATACCGGAAGTTCATCACTTCCATCTCCTTTCTCCAGAGCAGGTATTATATAAAAAGAAAAATTTTAATATTTTCAGCCTTTAATAATATCTATACTATGTAGTATGAACAGTACCAGAGATTTGGTACAGAAGAATACGTTTTACGCGCTGGTGGTCTTTTATGTCCAAGACCAGATTGTGGCATGGGTATTATACCAGCAACTCCAGACGATGGTAGCAGTAACGATGAATGCAGAAGGATTCAGTGTATTGGTGGCTGCGGAGTAAGTAATAACAGTGCATTTCAGTAACTATTAATTCATTTAATAACGCTTTAATTATTCCCAATATTATAACAGTTACAAGGATCATCTCTCCTTTTTTTCAATTTGTAAACTTTTATAGCAGTTGTTAAGGCAAATTTAATGACGTACAATACACTATCTGTAAAAGTCAATTATTTTATTTTATTTGCTAAGAATACATGTTACCTCTTTTATACAGGGTGTTCGGCCACCTCTGGGAATAATTTTAATGGGAGATTCTAGAGGCCAAAGTAAGACGAAAATTAAGAATACCAATTTCTTGACTGAGGTTTCGTTAAAAAGTTATTAAAAATTTCAAATCATTCTGAAAAAATTATTTTCGGTTGCGGGGATCAATTACAATAATTTTTGGTCAATAGACATACCCCCGAAATCCTATCCATTTTCTAGAAAAAAATTCGAGGTGTGAAATTCTTCTACAAAATTAAAAAATTTCTAATCGTTCTGGAAAAATTATTTTCGGTTGCGGGAGTCAATTACAATCATTTTTGGTGAATAGACATACCCCCTAACTCCTGCGCATTTTTTAGAAAAAAATTCAGTACGGGCGGAACTTTAAATGTTAATAACTTTTTAACGAAGCCTCTATTAACAAATTGGTATTCTTGATTTTCGTCCTATTTCGGCCTCTAGAATATTGTATCTTGAATATTGTAAGTAACAAGATTTACAAAGAAAATAAAATAATATTAAATTATTGAATTAATCTGTGCTAAAAGATCGAAATTTTTGGGGGTTCAAATAAATCTGTGCAGCATTTATGCATAAATATATTCTTGGGACGAGTTTATTATAGGTATAGTTAGTACTATGAGAGAAAAGTGAAAAAATTTCTGTTCTATGTAGATTCTCAGGGGGAATAGAAACTTTCAGTACTCGTTATTGGATATTTTCTATAAAAAAGCTAAATTCAGAAAAAAGGTAGAAATTATGAAAAAGTATATGCATAGGATAGTACTTATAATTACTGATTTTTCAACAGCTCTGTCAAATCTTTCTGTAACTGCTATAGATTAAAATATAATCGAAGTGCCAAGAATTACAGAATAACTGTGCATAACTTTTGACTAATAATAAAACTATTGATAATACATTTTGTCTTCAGTACGTCTTCTGTAGGAGATGCTTACAAGGATTTCATGTAGGAGAGTGTGAATTGCAGTCATCCGAATCTTCCAATACAATATTAAAATCTGATGGATATCCGGTGGATCCGTTAAGAGCTAAAGATGTACATAATGCAATATTATTTATACTTTGTCCATTTATTAAACAGAGATTTTATCGAGTGCCATTTCTTTTAGGCAAAGTGGGACGAAGCTAGCAAGAAAACTATACAAATATCAACGAAACCGTGTCCAAAATGTAGGACACCAACTGAAAGAGACGGTACGTAATAATATTAGAGATAAACAGTGCGATGTATTAACAATTTCATATTAATGAAAATATTATTTACCAGGAGGATGCATGCATATGGTTTGTACGAGAGCAGGTTGTGATTATCATTGGTGTTGGGTATGTCAAACTCAATGGACAAGAGAGTGTATGGGTAATCATTGGTTTGGTTAATGTATAAACAATCTGATATTGATATATACAAAGATAAAAAAATAAATTATGATGAGTATTTTCTGAAAAAGTATAATGTCATTCTAGTCAATTTAAGGACATACAGGATGGATATACACCGTATATTCTAGATTTACACAGTTATTATTGCACATAGCGAAAAATGTTTTAGATCAAGTTGAGTGGTTTTGAGAAGAGTATATTTTGATGGTATTCGTTTTTTAAAATGATATATCATATATTTTTTATTGCATCAATTGATGCACTTTGATATTGTTTACAAAAAAGACAATTAAAGTATTACCTAAACTAATAATTTTTTAACTAAAATAGGTTAATACTGTTTTGTAACGAATATCAAGGTGCATCAACTGATTCCATTTAAAAAACGTTAATGACCTTCATATGTTCTCTGCACGTTCACCTGCAAGAAAACTAATATTATCAAAATGTGCCCCTTTCGAAATCATTCAACTTCATCCGAGACATTGTTTACTACGCTTATTAATAATGACGTAAATCTAAATGGCAATGTGATTGACCCACCCTGTATATAGGAAGGTATTTGGAAGTCTCCTGAAATGAAAAATACAATTTTTACGTCTTTCATTTTTCATTGTACTATTTTGTAATTATATAAATAATTAATTTATCAAAATCGTTTTTGTTTTTTAAAAACTTGGCTACGAATTAGTATAAATTAACCACTGTATATATAACGGTTACAAATTTATGATTTGTCTATAAATAAATAATCATATGTCATCTATGAGCAAATTATCTTATGATTTTATTGCACTTCGTTTAATTCTGAGGAAGAAACGATATATGCTCGTTTAGTATATTTTATTTTAATGATTATATTATGTAATACATATTATCTAAAAACATTAAGACACGATCATAGGACGGATTGATTTCTCGGAAATCGAAATTGAATTGACATCAATTATTCGATTGGCAAAACACATTTAAACAGTTTATTAGATAAAATCTACAAACTGTTTAACTAATCCCGTTATAAACGCTAATATGTATCTCTATTTTACCATGTGTTCACTGTATTCCTGTTTCATAGTATTCGTTACATTCTTGTTGCATATTGCCCAAATTTTTCGATTCACATTAAAAAATGTATCCTATACTTAACAATAATTAATATAATTTCAAATACCTATACAGGGTATGCTAAGATTAATGGTTTAAATTGTATATATGTATATTACTCATCAAAATAAGGAATAATGTGTTAACTGTTTATGACGTATGTTCTTTTTGACGAGTATGAACATACCCAAACTTTAAACTATCAATTTTAGCACATCTATGTTTCAGAACACCTTATTCGTATTGCACCTAAGTGGACTCTGTGTACAACTTCATATTTAGTTTATATTTCGATTTTGCTCTCGTTTAATCACCTACCTATAGAAACAGTTGTGGAAATCATAGAGTAGTAGCTAAGTAACATAAATAAAACTAGTTGTATCACATACTTAAATCAAATTGCTGTAGTTTGCGGAGCAGGCGGCGGTGTCAGTGGTGTCCAAGCAGCGGCCTGATGATCATTGGTCGCAATATCTGAATCCTGACGGTGATGTCTATCAATAACCGTTGTCAGATATCTTCGGTTCTCGTTTGATTGTACGTCGTTCAGCGTATCTGCACTTTGATCCGAGTAACTAACAGGTATATGATGTTCCTTTGGAGGAGTGTCATATTCTACACTGACAGGAGACACTGTACCAGTCTGTTGAATTGGTTGCAAATGTAACATTTGAGGATGATGGTGTTGCGGATGACGGTCTGGTGTTGTTGATTGAATAGGGGAAGCCTGATACTCGTGAACATATTCGTCAACAGGAGGAACCGCATCCGTGCCATTTGGATGTAAAGTGTGATGTAACCCGGTATGTGGAACCGGATAAGAAGACATCTGGTGATGTAAGTGGAGATTCAAATTTAAGTAGGATTGTTGCTGTTGTTGTTGCTCTGACAGAGTGGTGGGATGAATCCAGGCTGAGGTGTCGGCGCAGTGACTATGCTCTTGAGAGACAGAAGATAGATTTGACGGCACATACAATGTGCACCCTGTAGCTGTGGTTGGTGATGCTGTCCCAACAGTGCCTCTGTTGAATACTGCATGCGATGTTGAAGTCGGCGAAGGCGAAGGTGATGTGGGCCATTCTTGGGTAGGTGGTAAACAAGCTGGACTTAAGTTTTGTAAAGATTCTGGACTCCGTGGTGACCATCCCGATGCTGCCATGTAGGCTGTGGAATGCAAGAGTTGCACCGGGCTATATGGATCCGTGCGTTGTTCTGTAACGTTAATTTGAAACGTCAGATCATTTGTTTTTAAAGAAATCATTTGCGTGTAAAAGTAGTCTAAACGAGCATAAAATCACTACATATATTTGCAGTACGGATCATTTAAAAATGACAGAGATAGAGAAGAAAGCATTATAAGATTAATAATGTGGTAATGTCTTGGATATTGGTCGATGTTCGGGACCGAATCTGGCTAGAAATAGATCTTCCAGGAACTCCCATCTCTCTTTTTTTAGGGAGAGGATATTTAACAATAGATTTAGAAACATAAGCATACTTGACCGCCGGGACAGGCGGGAAGCCAGTTCCAGGAACTGATGGAGATAGCAATTGGTCAATTTCCAAGGGAAAATCTCGGCCAATTTCCAAGGCATCACTTAATAGGTTTAAGAGTCGTACCATCTTGAATATATTTATGTCTCAGTGTGTAAGGCGACGATCTACAAGTATTTCTGTGACCAGCTGTAGAAATGGTACAGGAATTCGAGAGATGATTATTAACCGTTACCGATGCTTGATTTTGGGCGGCTGCAATGGCTGTAGCAGTATTATATTCGTATCCCATACTAGACTGTGGCAGAAACCAAGCACCTGTGTCTGTAATCCATAATACGATTTTAATATATAGTAGCTTGCAGTGGTCAAAATTGATTACATACGGATTTTGAAACTACGATTTGTACTAAAGGTCACGGTCTTCAATATGTATTTAATACACCGATTAGAGTCAGGCATTATCCGAATAAATCTTCAAACTCAAATAAAAAATAACAGGTGAAATCTTATCCATTATTTGTAATCCGTTCAATATTATTTGTTATGGAGTCGAATGAAGTATAAAATCAAAAGTTATTCAATTTTTCGGGTGACAAAAAGAAACAAATGTCTAAACACAAAATTGATTTACTCAAACTTTATATTTCATTTAATATATTGAATTAAGAGTAATGAGAAACGATTAAGTAAAAAGACAGTATTTAAATTTGTTACGTTTGCTCTTGATTTTATTCGTTCATGTTTTATCGTGGACTATGTTTACTAGAAAATTGATTAGAAACGTCGAAGAAATAAATACACACATTGATCAAGTAAGTTCTATATAAAATTGGCAGTATTTAATATTTTTGTAAAGAAATGCGAACGAACCTATTACATGACCTAATACATGTATCGTAATTAGAAAATGTAACCAATTTTGACAGCGAATCACTGTATATATTCAGTGGAAAGATTTAACCCTTCTTCATAATTTTCAACTAGTCAACTTACATTGTGGATAAGTTTGTGGATCAGCAGGTCTTTCCTTAGCATCGAGGAACGCTTTCGCGAAAGGATTGTATTTAATTTTCAAATTCGTCACTTCCTCGTTTTGATAAGCTGTCACTGCTATGAACTGTGTCTCAGGATAGCGGTACGTAAGAACCTAAGTATGTACAAATCAGATAAGGATTAATAATTTCTTAGATTCGTTGTTCGAAACTGCAGAATTAAAGAATTAGGTATTCAGAAGGTCTGAGTTAGGTTTATTCCTTCTTGATACTTTTGAGCATTAAACTTCTCAGGAGGATATGTAAATGAAAGTTATAACTTAACGATTGCGTTGTAATCGTCAATATGAAAATACATAAACTTATAGTCTTTTATTTCTTAGATCTGATGTTCGGATGAAGAAAATACTGTACATATTTATAAGACGAAGAAATATATCTGCAAAATCTCAATACAAAACAATCTACAGTGACTGTAGACACTTAGCAGTTGAGCCAATATTTTTCCAACAAAACATGAAAATTGTATTAAACTGTTGAAACTCGTATAGAGGTATATAGTGTAATGTTTCTTTATTTGATATATAACAACAATACAAAGAAACCTTTAGTAGTACTCAACAAATTAAATAAAATTTGAGGTTGCGTATGAAATTTAGCTGTCAGTAAAAATCGTTGGTAACATTGGAAATTCGGTGAATCCCCAATTGCTTTTTATCTAACAACGCTTAGCTAGCTGATTTAGCAGCATTCTGATTGTTATATGCGTTGTTCTGCCAAGAAATCAATAAAAAAATACTTACAATGCGACAAACTACAGTAGTATCACTATAAAAACAAAGAAAGTTATAATGAAATTAGTAAAATTATTAATCGAAGTAGAAGCACAGTTCAGTGTATAATAAAATGATACAAAGTAGAGGACCGTGTAGTGAATAAATTAAAAGAGAGGTCTGATAAAAAACTGAATATCAGGGATGAACGATGGATTGTTAGAAAAATTAAGGGTGATCCGAGGATTAGTGCTCCAAAATTAGCGTCAGAAGTTGAAAAATATTTAATTAAGAAACAAAGTGACTCAACCATTAGAAGAGTATTAAGAAAACAGAAGTATCATGGTAGAGTTGCTCGAAAGAAGCCGTTCATAAGTTTGCAAAATAGGAAGAAGAGGTACAAGTTTGCTAAGAAGTATATAAAGGAACAGTTTACTTTTTGTTATTGGCTGAACCGCTAGATGTACGATTTTAAGTGACAGTCACTGTATCTGTCATTGAAAAACAAAACAAAAAAGTCAAACTTAAATTTTAGATCATGTAATTATCATTGTAGGTCGTTATACTCCTTTTCTTATTCGCAACAACTCTATAAAGTCAAAAATGTACAGTGCCATTTAAAAAGAAATAACCTTGTCTTTTTATCGATAAAGAATTGTTTCTGAAAATTTTTTGTTTATATTACAATTTGTAGTTGACTATAAACTGATTAACTTTTGTTTAAAATATTTTTTTCGCAGATTATCGGAAGTGCCTCAAAAATATTGGCGACAATTGCATAACACACCCTGTGTATTATTCTTAGTATTATACTTAAAGAAGGATCGGCTGAAGAAAGATTGTAGTTAAACAATATATTTTCATTTACATGTTTTTCTGAGAAATTTACCTTCTTGATCCCTAATTTTTTAATATACAGATTAGATATTATAGAACAACGTTCATCGTGGTATAATTATCAGAGAGCACAACTAATATTGTACCGTTCTTTGCTCCACCGCATCCACGCGAACCAAATGAACACGAGGTTCGTATTTGTGTAACGAGTTCAGCATAATTTGTCCATTCCCGTTAGATTTGTTCGTCAGCTTCACTTTAGCGAACGATACAGCTTCCTTCATCCAATGGGATCCGAAATTCGGGCTCTCTGGATGTATGTAAATAGGATTCGGTGGGGCGACTTCCGCCTTTCCACCTGGGACCCATTCTCCGTTAACGTATTTCCATCTACGAAGAACGGTTCTTAAATTATATAACTTTTAAACATTTAATCTTTCAATAATATCATTATGTATATCGTTCGTTTTAGGAAAATTTTTTAAAACGAACAAATTTTACCCAGGTCTGTTTTCAGTCCTCTTCGGTATAAATAAGTCTAAAATAAGTAAACATGTAATGTAAAGAGGAATAAGAAATAACAAGACGTGAAAACAAATTCAAGAATGTTTGCTAAAATCATGAGAGACAACCACGTGTTTAATGGCCGCGTTTAAAAATGGTCATACGACTAAAAAACACAAAAATAGAAACCAAACCATGTAGGAACATACATTTGTTGTGAAAAACTCAGTTGCATAATTATTTATTCAACTTTCTCTCGTTTATTGGAAAACCAAACATGTATTTATTCTACACAACGATTTTTTTTCTTTTTCCAATAAATAATAAGAATTAGAAAATCGATACTGAAGTTGAATAAAGAAAAGTGTAATTAGTTTCTTAGAATTGATGTACATAGTTTGAATTATATTTTTGTGTTTCTTATGTAAATAATCGTTTTTAACATGTGATTGTCTCTTAAATTTCAAGGTGACATTCTTAAATCTATTTTGACTTTTTGTTATTTCTCGTTTCTGTTTAGATTAATATGTTTGCTTTGGATTTATTTGCACAGAAGAGGACTGAGAATTCAGTTGAAAACGTTGTGCTAAATATATTAAATATTTCCTTCAGCACGCAAAAATTAAACGTTTCATCTGCAAAGGAATTTAATCTTTCAGCCAGAAAGAATATCACCATCTTCTATTGAGTGAATTTAAACATTTCTAACATGATGATCTTCAATTTGGAAATTTCAAAAATTCTGAAATTTTGGGAGTATATAAAGCATATATAGATACATATATACATATATGTTACATAATTTTTTTTGTTGCTCAAATTCACTTTAAAGGGTAGAAATTAATCTTCAAATATTTGGCTATTTTTTACTTTATTGTTGCAACTTGAAAGCTATACAAGATAAACAACATGAGTCAATTTTTAATATTTTTGGTGCAATTAGGAAATTATATTATATTTATTTATTTTTTTTTAACAATTGTTTACCCATTACTCGTTAAATAAAAATATAAATTTGAATGATAGAATAGATTATTTCACAATAAACAAATAACAATTGAGCTCATTCGATCGTAAAAATTGCTATGTTTAGTTTTATTGATTATCTATTATTCGAATAACATTTTGTTCAACTTTGTTATCATTATGTATAGGGACTTGGTTCTTATTTTTCGATTTTTTGTATTGGTTTCAAGTTCAACGTTGGATTTCCTATTCTATATTCTTGCATTTTTCCGAAATACTAATACACATTATAAAACATCTTATTTCAGATGATTTGGTCATTAGGTATCTCTTCTGTTAGCCTAAGTAGGGGTAATCTTCACCCGATTAATAGTCACTTTTGTTAAAAATATGTTTCTATAATCTGTTTTTTATATCTGGTTTAACGCTTGTCTAGTAAAAGTTATTTTTGTTTTTGTGTGGTTGGCTACATTGCTGTATCTCCCCTTTTTATGTCTTTTGGTGTGTCTATTTTTTTTTGGTATGTGAGAGTGTGCCTACGAGGAGGGCACAATGTCATAAAATTATTACACTCTTTTTGTTTCCTTTTTTTTCTTTTCTAAATTAATAAACAAATATTGTATAAGTTGAGTTTATTTTCTTTAATTCTAACAACTTTTATAGAAATTACTGCTTTTAAATGAAATTAAGTGGATTTATACTTTTATACGTATAATTTTTGACAATACGAAAACATTGACAACGTTACCTATTCGTCTGAAATAAAAATTTTCAAATGCTACTTCATTTGTCTGTTACAACGACGTGCCCTAACTAAAAGTCCCTTAGGGGGTACGATTTAGGCAAATTCACCCTACAGATTTTAAACTAGTTATAACTAAATAGTACGGTGGACCTTATTTTTCAACTTAGAATTTTCTTGGGACACTCCCTGAAATTGTAACACTACATGAAAAAATAACCTATGCAAAAATAACCTGTTTTTCTCCATTAAAGTGTATCGTTTGCTACACTTTCTAAAGATATAGAAACAAAATTTAGGGTTTTTTGTTTTTTTTTAAGTCGCGATTCTAAAATTTCAAAAATTTATTGCGGACAAAAAATATACTTTTTCGCATTATATTTACTTCGTTAACTTCGTTTTACGAAACAGTATTAACCTATTTATGATAAAAAATTATTAGTTTAAGTGATATTTTAATTGTCTCTTTTGTAAATAATATCAAAGTGCATCAATTGATGCAATAAAAAATATATGACTTCATTTTTTCGAAGTTAACGAAGTAAATATAATATTTTTTGCCCGAAATAAAATTTTGAAATTTTGGAATTGCAATTTATAAAACATGAAAAACCCTAAATTTTATTTCTACCACTTTATATCCTTATAAAGTGTGGCAAGACGAATTCAAAGAGGTATTAAAATATATGATAGCGATACACTTGAAATGGAGGAAAACGGGTTGCAAAAATAAAAAATGTTCAACTTCGATATGCCTCGCCTTTCCTTTGTCCGATCAATTTCAGATTTTGCATAGGTTATTTTTTCATCTAGTGCCACAACTCCAGGTAGTGTCCCGAAAAAAATTTGTCATTAAGTATAACTAATGTCCACCCTACTAAACAGTCAAAATTCGTCTTACAAGATGATACAAACAGAAGATTAATTTTGGAAATGTATTCATAAATGCATTTACTTATTATTTCCAATACAGATGGAATATTTGAAAAAATTCGACGAATGGAAGCCTCTATTCTCGCAGAGGAAGGAATTTTCGAACGTTTATTGTAGTTGCCATGATAAATCATAAATATCATTAAAAGTTTATATTTTTTCAATAAAGAACTTTCGCAGTTTATATGAACTTTTATTGTCTATTTGACCTAGTATCACAATTCCAGAGAGTGTCCCGAAAAAAATCACGAAAAAAAATTGTCATCAAGTATAACTAAGGTCCACCCTACTAAACAGCCATGCTAACTCATAATGGTTGACGACAGGAGTCGTGAATCTTTTCTCGAACGATAGTTGAGTTGCCTCGCTCGCGTTCCTACCGCGATCTATTCCTCGTGCAAACAACGGATGACGATTGACCGAGTTAAAAATAGCGTTCTAACAAGTTTAGAATCATGCTTAACGGTGTTACTGCTCTGTGGATGAAAGGGGTACGATAATTACCCCTAATCTCTCGTACGAAAGACGAGGACAAGATTATTGTTACCTGTGCGGATCCACTTGGACGAATTCGAGAAGAAGAGTGTACATGGCTTTCGGTTCTAATCCTCGCGCGACTATCTTGACAACTGGAAACATGCGTCTGAAAGTAAAAATCAACAAAACATGAGACTGACGGTTCGTCGTTTTGGTTTTATTGGTTTGTTTTAGGGTTTTCTTATCTTTAAGTATCGACTGTATTAGTGTAGGGCCGACTTTAGGGTTACGTGGCGCCCTATAAAAGGTGTTCGGCCACCCTTGGGAAAAATTTTAATGGGAAATTCTACGGGGCAAAATAAGACGAAAATGAAGAATAACAATTTGTTGATTGAGGCTTTGTTAAAAAGTTATTAACGTTTAAAGTTCCGCCTGTAGAACGGCAATCTGCGAACAGCTGCGTGCATGCGACAGTGGTTCTTATTCAGCATGATAGACTCTACTTAATGACGTATCGCCATCCTTAATAACTTTTTAACGAAGCCTCGATCAACAAATTGATATCCTTGATTTTCGTCTTATTTTGGCCTCTAGAATCTCTCATTAAAATTTTTCCCAGAGGTGGACAAATACTCTGTATAGTTTTATGCAGTTTATGGAAACTTTAAGATTTTAAATCGTGTAAAACGAGTTACAGGTGTGGTTTACTTGTTTACACCCATTTTGCATTAGCCGTTATTTATGTAAAAACAATTTTACCAGTAATAATCTCTGTGGACATACACGAGGAAAGTAAAATCAAGACATACAAGAAGATCATGAGGAATGAATGATGGAAATAGAGAGACATCTGAGAGAAGAGGGGGTAAGACGATCTACAAGATTGCAGGAAAAAGAGGAGCAAACAAATTTCATTATTATACAAGACATGGGATTACCGAACAACCATGCAGAAGCAATAAAATCAAAAGACTCAGAGAACTGGAAAAAAGCCATGACATAAGAGATTACCACAATGGAACAACATGGTGTATGGAAATTAATTCAATGGCAAGAAGGGATGAAAATGATAAAGAGTCGCTGTGTTTACAGCAAGAGACAAACACCAGAAGGTGATATAAAATACAAAGCGAGATTAGTTACTGTAGGATGTAATAAAAAATTAGGAATAAACTATGAGGAGTCGTTCACACCAGTTATACAGCTGGAAACTGCAAGAATTGTGTTATCATTAGTGGCAACTTACAAAATGAAGATTAAACAGTTTGACGTGAAATCAGCTTATCTCTATGGAGATCTGAAGGAGAAAGTATATATGGAACAGCCACCAGGGTTTGCAAGAGACAATAATAAGGTTTGCGAATTACGAAGAAGCATATATGGATTATCACGTTAATATCATTAGGATTAATACAAATAGAAGGTGAACCGTGTGCTTATGTTTTGAAAAAGGGAAAACAACAGCTGATGGTGGGAATATATGTAGACGACTTTATTATAATAGGATCAGACAATATAGTAATTGAAGAGACAGTATCAAAGGTTAGACAACACTCCGAACTAATTGAAATAAAGGATAAAAACTTTCTAAATATAAGAATTACGGAGAACGAAAATGGAATACAATTGTCTCAGGCAGCATACATTGCGAAGATCTTGAAAAAACGTAACTTACATATAACACAGGATCTGGATGTATATGAAGACTCACTTAAAGTAGATAAAACAGAGTATCAGGAATTACTAGGATCACTTATGTACGTAGCTGTGGGAACAAGACCTGATATTTCCTATGCGATAAGTAGACTATCGCGATATAATCAAGAACCAAGAGTAATGCACTTAACAGCAGTAAAAAGAGTATGTATAGATATCTCAAGGGAACAATGGATTATAAGTTGCAGTATGATAGAAAGGAGTCCCAATTAACGATGAGTACCGATGCAAGCTGGACCGCCACAAAAGATGCCAAATCATATGGAGCTACATAGCCAAAATAGGTAATAATCTGATAACTTGGAAATGTCAGAAGCAATAACTGGTAGCATTGTCTACCTGTGAGGCTGAGTTATTGGCTATTTGTGAAGGCATACGGGACATAAAGTGGATCAAGACAGTCTTAGAAGGATTAGGAATGGGACATTTATGTAAAAACCCAGTAGAGGTGAAGACAGACAGCAAGGCGGCAATTGGCTGGATAAACAAGGATAAAGTCACTAACAGGACGAAACACATTAACAGAAAGTACTACTTTGTGAAAGATGAAGTAAAGGAGAAAAGAGTCGAGCTGAAACATATAAAATCAGAGGAAAACGATGCCGATATATTAACACTATGACGTCCGGTGGCTCCACGTTGGTGCCATTCGGAAATTATTGTGCAAGCGCCGATGGCTGTATTGTGGTATTCAAAACTGTAGAACGAAAGTTAATATTGCGTGTTCTGTTTAACTAACAGTAAATTACAGACGTAACAACTTTGTATTTTCATAAAAACCTGTGCTCTTCGACAATGGCAAACGAAAAAGAAGACACAATTACACATGATGAGTGTGTGGACATCTTGTCTGATGTTTCACACGAATTTGAAGATTGTGAAAAACTAGAAGACATTACGTCTTCAGAAAAGGAAAATGAGGCAACATCTTCGGATGAATCTCGAAAAACCGCCGGCGATAAGCGAAATTATGTAAGTCAGTTACACCGGTGCGACACGAAAAAATCTAGATTAGACGTGCGGACGGCATAGTGTTAACAAAAGGACTGACTGAAGAAAAGGTAATTAAGGGTACTAAGATGTTACAGGTAACCAGTGAGATCGTGCGTCCAAGAGAGGGAATTGTGGCGCGCATATGGCCGCACGATGGCGCTTTACGGGAAAGTACTGGTCGACCGTGGGGGAACCCCAAGACAGGATCGCCACTCGGTTGTGGGGATTTTCGTGCGTGAATATTAATACCGAAATAGTTGTATCACTTCCAATGTATGACTTATTGACATGAATAAACTACGCTCTATATTATTAACGGACCACAATCCCATTCCGCATTTTTCTTGAACTCGCAGAGTTATGCAGCGTTTCAAGCCAATGGTAATTACATTTTTAATGACAATTAAAACGCACTGCAATTCAGAACCATAATTCACAGTTTGGTTCGGTTGGTTGGAAAATACACTCCTGGAGGAGAGTATCGTTGGGAACAATTTCTCCACTGTCATATTGCATATGAAGTTTGGTTGGCAATTGATAAAATGTATATCTATAAATACATAAAAATTTCGAGTCAATCTACTAACATCGACGTCATTCGAAACAATAAGACAATAGTTAGCGTAAAGATTCCATTTCTTGTCATGTAAATATAAAACCAACATACAAGTTATTTGTGGTGTTTCTTTAATCGAGCAGTTAAAGTTTTATTTATACGTTGTAGAATATTTTTATTGCGTATTATTAACGCATAACGGATAATCACTTGTTTATCTTTATTATTAGATAAGAATGTTATCCATTTCTAAGAGTTTAAAATACTGTTTTGGTGTCTTAAGTTGGCCAGTGGTTGGCACATTTACCATAATTCGGATCGTCGCACAGTGTATCCAGCAATGGACAAAAGTAAAAAAACTAAAGTCTATGTTTCATAAATTCTTATACCCCAAAATGTTAATAAAGGAATGTAGATTTTAACACTATCCATAACATTTACTGAATTTACCAATTTGTTGTTGAAAATGATGACAGAAAATTGCAATTTTCGGTGCATTTTCTTAAACATGTGCCATTTACCGAAAGTTTATGTTTTTAATTTGATTTTTGCAAGTTGTGTACAGTATTATAGTAGCTTCCAAACTACTAAACAATCTTTTTACAATATTAACAATTGGTCCCAATTTTTTATGTTAAATGATCATCAACTTTGAATTGGGTTTAAAAAAAAATACCAAAAAATACCTCGATGATTTTTTATATATTAAACTTTAATTTAACGCCAATTTTAGCTGCCCGAATTTGACCGAAACAGAGAAACTGATCAAAATTATTATTGCAAGTACTGCATACCTGCACCGAATCAGAATCGGAATTAATCTAATAAAAAATGTTCTTTTGTTTATTTACCAAGATAAGAAATTGTTTCTGTATCTATTTTATATTTTAATTAAAAAGAAATAAAGGAAAAACATTACACAGATGCAAATTGATGGCAGCAGTCGAGGCGCGAGTGGAATATAATGACACAAAAGGTTAAATGGCAACTGTTTGTACATAGTGGAATTCAACGTAGTGTTCCGCTCTCCCTATGACAAGAAACGTACTGAAAGTAGAGGGGGAGACCGGACACGGCTGCCAACTGCTACACACGCGTCGCACGGTGGTAACACAAAGTTATGATTTTCTTCTGGAACACCCATATACTCGAAATGATCGCTACGATATTTCAGGCACTTCCTCTAAACCAGGGTTTCCCACACTTTTTTTTTTATGGAACCCTTAAGAACCGTTCAGGCGCCTATGCATTTCTGGCAGCCTGTCACTTTTATAGAACAGTTCGATCTAATGAGACGATCTTAGAATAAACGACTTTGAAACGACAGATAAACAATAATGCCTTTCGCAAGAAAATTTGACTGAATTTGTTTAATAGTTTAATTTAATAGTTTGTTAATATTTTAATGCATTTCTATGAAAATATTGCAGCTAATCTTATTTTAATGTTATATCGCAACTTGTTTCGGGGAACCCCAAAATTATTTTATGGAACCTCAACGTTAGGTCTGGGTTAGGCCTGCTCTAAACCAATCAAAAAACTTTTCGAACAAAAGTTACACAGCAATCCAACAAGAAATTGTAATAGTAGAAATTAGCAAAACAATTTTTATTCAACAAAAAATCAAGGTCGCTTCAATCTTTTTAACAAAAATGTATAATTTGTTGTGCATCAATCGATGCATCTCTGTATTTTCTTTAAAAAACTATAAGAGGTAGGTCGAGAATGGACTAGTTTCGAAGCTATGATTTTTGTGCCGAATTCCCATTTACGCACTGTGCGCCGTGCTTGATTACTTTTTCTGCCTAAAGAAAATAAGAAAGCATTACGAATGAAAAAGCTGAACCGGAAACGCGAAAGACGGACCTCGATTTGGCGAGGGAAAATCCCTCGGGTGGGCC